TTCATTAATTCTATATCTATCCTAAGTATCGATACACATTGTTATTACTCAAAACTCAACAGCAAATCCGAAAGAGTAAAAATATTACGTAAAACATTATTTCTTTGCAAGAAAACAGCTTTAAACCGAGTAATAGCGTGCCAAGTCATCAGGAACCGCTCTAATGGCGCGAGCCCCGCAAGATGGAGGCGGGAAAGATGTCGCTGCGGACGATATTTCACGGAGGAGCCGTTTAACCGTCGCAACAAAAGGGAATGTTATCGTCATTCGCGAAAACGATGAAAAGCAAAGCGTTATCGGCGTTAACGAAACTCCTCGGGTACTCGTTGTCCTGGACGTAACGATCTCGCCGTTGAACGTATTGGAAAAACGATACGCGTGGCCGCAGCGATGCAGTGCCCGCTCGTATTCGTTCGGCCGCGATACCGGCCGCGTTTCCCTACGCTTTCCCCCGGAATTCGAGATGATACGCCTTGACAACCCGTGCGTCACGAAACAATATCCCCGCGTCCGATCGGCTGACAGCGTGATAACTTGACCGAAAAGTAATATTTTCGGATGCTGTCGGATCGGGAGGACGAGCGAATCCGATATCTTCCGGCTACGTCAAGAGCCCGACCGGCTGAGTTTTAATATTCTTCGGAAGACAAAACTGATAGGTCGGAAAAATGTGCAGGAAAATAGCCGACTCTCGGATTTTATTGAATTTCCAGGAAGACAGAACACCTATCGTAGGGCTGACATTGACATTTAATTGTCGCGGAATTGATCGATCGTGAGAAACGAGGTCCGAGATTCTAGCTGAATGTCAAGGATTACTTTGTTCTGTATTTGCTCGACGCGATGATTGTTTTCCGCGAGATCTTGTTGAATAAGAAACGCCACTTCCATCGTCCTGTGTCAAGGAAAAATATCGAGGGTCTGCGATTATCCTAATTATGCAACGGAAGGACTCGAGCAAAGACGTTCCCAGTATTCTAGCGTTCCCGATAATCAATACGGAGTGTTCCGAGGAGTTCGAATGAAATTCGAACTTCAATTATTCGCATAATCTCGAGGGAAGGGAAGAACAGGAGCGGAAGTATCGTTGATTCTGTAGCACCGGCAACAATTTTTGTCTTTGTTTTCAAATTCCTCCTGTGATATTCCTTTTCATCCGTGATGCTGTTTTCTCTGCATTTATTTTATTTCGCGGGTTTGTTCAATGGAAAATTCTTCTTGTGCTTTCGTTGCATGGCATTTGCATCGTACTGCTCGAATAACCCGAAGCCTCTTAACGATCAATATACCTTGTGTCTACCAGAAAATAACGAAAAACCCAATGCAACCGTGAAATATTCAAGACGAAAGCGCATGAAGCAGATTGAACCGAACTTTCTCTGATTTAAAACACCTTGAACAACCAATTAGGATCCCGGTATCATTCGAGGGTGTCCCAAGGGCAGGTATCCCGATCGGAATAATCTCAAAGCGGACACGCCGGAACTTCTCCGAGGACTCTAGGCGCGCGGTTCAATTTGCTAATAACGAAGGAAACTCGGCCATAGAAGCGGGGACGTTCCTCCGAATCGAAAATCAATAAATCTGCCGCGGCGGGGGGGCAACGGGATGCATCACGGCCCGGGCACGGGGATTGCTACGTCGATCAACATGCCGCTCGTCGCCCCGTCGAGGACAACCCTTTCGTTTCGCCGCGCAGTCAGGTGATCCCGGCAAATCTGCGCATGCAAATCGTTGATAAACGACAATCAACAGGTGCCGAAAGGTCAACGGGCCATTAGGCTCGAATCCAACCGTCGGTGTTGCGAGCCGCTTGCTTTCCGGGACCACCTGAAATTCGTTAACGAGGGATCGGGACACTTTTCGGTGGTTAAATCCGAGCGCCGGCGTCGTAGAACCTCTCCTCCTGACTCTGTAATTCGACTGTTAACGTATTGAGTCAGGTATCCTCGTCTGGCGCTTAGTTAGCGATCTTCGGAGGGATTCCTCTTCGTTCTGCACACCTGTTCTCGCGATTAATCTTGCTGGTACCGTTTACTTGGTACATTTGCCTCGGAGATTAATGACAGATATTCTGTAGTTTTAATATATAAAGTCCCTTGGTAGCTTGGGTTTTGTTTGGCTCTTAACAGGCGAATGAATTTTTACGCAATGACCTGAAAATAGAAGTTTGCGTAAAGATCCACAGTCTATGTACCGCAAAATAATTTTATGTCATCGCTGAGCAATGCACTCGAAAAGGAATATTCAAATAAATTGCATCTGCCAATAAAACCAATCGACAGAGATGCAGAGGAATAAGGTAGTTAAGTAAAAGGAACTCGGTAGAATCGAAGAGTCCAACGATCATAACTCCGGATGTTATTCCCCGTGTTATTCCGCTGGCGCCCGACAGCCTCATTATTACCCCGCGAGAGTATAAGCTTAGCCCGGTCGCGAGAAACGCAAGCACCCAAAAATGGCGGTGCTCGAGAGCTCAAGCACCCGGGTGACACGCTTTCCCCGCGGCTCTTTTCACCGCTGCTCGTTGCGTCGAAACTAAGCCCACTCGTAAAAATACAAGCCGCCGCTATCAAAACGTCCGCGAGTGCATCCCGATAAAAGGTGTCCGCGAAATAACGCGGCGGCAGCGAGCGCCGCATGGAAAGAGGCAAAGCCGTGTGAAACGCGACGGCGTAAAGCTGCTTTTACGTCGCAGCTTCGATACCAGAGAAGTTAATAAGCTGATATTGCCCTCCGCTTCGTGGCTGTCGACGCGGCGAACTGGCAAAACGGGTTTCTCGCAATGCGTTTTGTTTGTAGCTTCGGCTACTTGCGTATGACCTACATGAATCCGATTCGATTGGCTACGAATAGCAAACTAGTAAATAGATCGAACTGGTATCAAAAACGAGACGAGGAAAAATGAAAACTGACCAATTTAGACCTGCATTCATTTGCCTAGGCACCAAACAGAGGATGTTCGATACCAGAGAACGTCGATTATGGTGTCGATAAAAGTAACTAGACTAAACTTAGTAAGTTTACTCAAACTAAAATTATCGCGCGATAATCGCGTTCTAACAAACTTCAATGAACTGTCCTAAATCCATCACGAACACGATCAAAACAAAGAAACGACAAGTGAAGCTTGAATACCCCATTCAATTTGATTCCTACAGATTCACTTCGATTTACAAATGACAAAGGCGCGTCTCTCGAGCCGATGATCATCGCTTCGCTCGCTACTTTGACGTAAACGTTTCCGTGCCGACACAACGTAAACGATTTCCACGCTTCGCTCTCGTCGACGCTCTTATCGTGCATCACAGCTGCGATGTAAACGCAGCCTAACGCGGAAGGCCGATGGAACGCGAACCGAAACTTCCGCCAGGACGCTCTTGTAACTCTCCCGCGATCCACTAACTGCGCCGTTGTAATTCGTTTTATCGACACGACCCGGCAGCCTATCCCGAGCCAGCTCGCGATCCTGCCCGTTGTCCTTCCAACGAATTATCCCTCGTAAAACGCACAAGTCGATGCACCGCAAACGACGCTACCGCGCCGGGGCTTTACGACGCCCCGTTCCCGGTCGGCCGGGTTCAGGAGCGAACCGTCCTCTCTTTGTTAACGCGACACCGTTCCGCCACCGGGCTTCCGGTTTCCGTTCGAACGTTTCAGAGACTTTTTGGCCGGCCGCCATGATTTAGTGTCCTCCACTCGTTGGGCTCTTTGGAACCGAGTTCCTGCGATTTTAGAGGCCTTTCGGAGATACTGTTGCCACCTGAATTAACCTTTCCCAACTGGAGTCCCGTTCGGTGGAATTGGAAGTATTCCGTCGGTGTGCGCGTTATTTTATTGGAATCGATGCTTGAGGGGATAGAACTGTTATTTGACAGATAATTGAGAGGGTGTAGATGATGAAGCTGTCGACTGATCGATACTTTTTTATCTTAATGCATTGTGTATCGGCTAATTTTCAGAAAGCTGAATTCTGCGGATGCCGATTTTCAGCGAGATCAACTTATATCGCTATGTATAGAAAAACTCAAACATCATATTGCTATGTAGTATATCTTAAATAGATGATCAGTTCGAGTCAAATTTAATTTTTTCAAATGTAATTAGCAAAGTTGCACAGCTAAGTGTCTTCTTATAAAAACGAGATTTCTAGTGTGCAATGTGTTAATTGTTTAGGGTTTACGATGATGCGAGTATATTGCTGCGTTCATTTTGTAATGTTTCTCCTATTTCTCTTATAGCGAGCATAAATCGAGTTTCATCTCTGTTAAACATAATTTATTGAACGACGTTTCGCCTGTTTGGAAACTCGAGATAGAAGCTTCAGCATTTTTCAAAATAAAGTGGAAACACGCCAGGTTTGTTCTGTACACAATACGTGTCAGGTACAATTAAGTTGAAAACATTTCGCGCCGATAAAGCGCGCAACCGCGGGGCAGGCTGTCTTCTTTGAAAAAAGAAATTGTTTATTCGATCGGCACCGGAAACGAGCGGATGCCTCACGGGAGCCACCAAAGACAGCGTTGCACCCGCGCCGTGATCGGGGATAGAAAAACGGAAGCTTGAAAAACGACGGTCCCGCGACAGAGCACAAATAATGCGACTTATCTACGTCCGCCACGCATTTTCGCTGGAGCTAACGTATTATAGTAATCCTGCTCGAAGCTGTCGGATCACATTCCCAGAGAGGCAATCTTGTTTTTTCGAACGGACGACCGATAAACAACATTAACGAACTCGAACCTAAAATACGAACGAAAACATCTTTGGAAAACTTCGACGAAATTTAATCTGAAATAAACAAACATTTCGAAAATATCCATCTAACACACATTCACCTTTCTTTATACTTTCAATTATCTGGAATCATTAGTGTCAAAAAAACGATTCTACTTCACTTTGGATTCTAGATGATCGACTATAGATATATAACTTTGCTCGTTGTAAGGACGAGTTTCTTTTTCTCTTGATTAATGTATCGTGATTATTTCTGTTGACAGTTGTTCATGATCGATAACTGCGCGGACGATTGGCGGATCGCGATGACCTGGCAGAGGATCGCGCAGATTACGCTCGAGTTGGTAATCTGCGCGATCCACCCGATCCCAGGGGAATACTACTTCTTGTGGACGACCAAGCTGGTGAACAAGGGCGGTGACTTCGGCTCGAAATGGGTACCGTACGACGTCACCCTCTCGCTGCCGATGTTCTTCAGACTCTACCTCATCTTTCGCGTTATGCTGCTGCACTCGAAGCTGTTCACCGACGCCTCGTCGCGCAGCATAGGGGCCTTGAATCGTATTAACTTCAACACCAGGTTCGTCCTGAAAACCCTGATGACCATCTGCCCGGGCACCGTGTTGGTCGTCTTCATGGTCTCGTTATGGATCATCGCCTCTTGGACGTTACGCCAGTGCGAGAGGTGAGAGTGCAACCTTAACCTTCTTCGTCGCAGGATTCGCCGAATAAATCTGAATAAAGAAATTACGTTAATCCCGTCAAACTTTCGATCCAAGTTTTCTGATTCTCAAGATTTTGTAATTGAGAAAAAGGTACCTATGTATCAAGCATTAATCCAATAGGAAAGTTTCTATGTATTCTTCATGATAGTATTGTCAAATATCAGATGAATCTATTACCGAAGTTATGCCCCGAAATTGGAACCCAACTTTACTGAGAATAACCCCAATAATACAGCTGTTGGTCCCGTGTTCATGGGATAAATCACTCGAAATCATTGACAAGTTTGTTAAAAAATATTAAAACGTAACAGTTGTCGCGCGAATATTGTGACATCGCTTCGCGGTACCCGGCATCAACCGCAATTCGGAATATCGCTGACTGAGCAATATTCGGAAATGAAGCGAATATAGCATCCAAATGTCCAATCTGAACTTCGAGAATCTTCAAACTGAAAAACATTATGTATTTCACGATACGACGATATCAAACGACAAAATGAAGAACATTCTTCCACTATCAAAACGTCCATTCACGCGTTTAGCATTTAACCGCGAGATAGTTCAATCTTTTTACCGCGTTACCGCTGGAAACCGAGACCTCCACTCGACCGGCAACGCAAAACCGCGCTTTTTACCAAACCGGAAGCTACCGGTATCGCGTTCGGACTACTCATCGGCGCTAACAGGCTCTCCAGGCAAATCTTCCCCCGGAACAAGGGCATAAATCACGGCCGCCGTGATATCGGCCGGTCGGAGAGGCTCGAGCCGTTAAAACGGCAATAGAGGATTTAGTACGTCGCGCGTGGGGGCGGCAGAGGGTTGGCTCGAGATTGCTAGTCCGCGTATAATTAAATTCTCCCGCAAATAGCACAGGGCCGATTTAGGGAAACTGCGGAGGGCGCGGGGCGATCAATCTTCGCGGGCCAATCGAGGACCTCTCGCGAAGGGACCGCTTGTATTCTTTCTTTCGCTTCGACGGAAACGAATAGGGGCTTGCCGCTTCTCCCTTCAAGCCGATGAACGACCAGTGGCGACTTCCGGTCTTCCTTAAACCCATTCGAGACCACGATTTTTCTCAACTCCAGAGAAAGCTACCGAATGGATCGAACTGACCCATTCCTAAATTCTTTTTCCCCAGTTATTGAAAAGGTAACCGATGTTTCTTTCAGAAACGAATAAGGAAATTGACTTAGCAGTACGCGAGCTGAACCATAAATCAATTGAAATCTCAATGGACGCGCTCTTGGAGTTCTACGGAAAAATTAGAACCATCTTGCGTGCTCGGTGATAATGTTAAAAATAGCCCTTTAGAGTCAAGACTCGAAATCGTTACTTTTGCTGTTCATACTCCGTGATTCCGGCGGTCTTGATTGCAGGTTACTGATATATCATTAATTATTACTATGTTAAAGATATTCTTTATTATTAATATATCATTAATTATTACTATATCAAAAATATTCTTCATTATTAACCCTTTGCGAACGAAGATTCTTTGAAATGTACAAAACCTTCGGTAGATGAATTTAAATTATACATCGATCGCTTAATTGATAGGAAAACAGGAAACTACGTGCTAATCTTGTGCTGTTTCACTAAATTAATCATTTGTTCGCGACATGGTCTTCCAAATACGAACATCTGATCTCACCGGGATGTCGACATTCGTCCGTAAAGGGTTAATATATCATTACATATTAATTTATTCTCCCTTTATTTCGCAATATATTCCCTTCCGAATTTGATAAATCAACGACATATCGTCGTTCAGCGCTGTAAGAGTTAAATGAGACGTATCGGCTCGCCGGGATGAAAGGCCGCGTTGAATTTTCAATCAGTTATAGAAGTTGTGTTGTCTGTCCGTCGACCGGCATCCACTTCCGTGGGCTTCGTTTTCTTCCTCTTCCCGCTAGTTCCCGGAAGTACCCACCAACCGACGGGAACTTCCGAGGATACCCCATTCACCCGGACGAGATACCGGGAATTTATAACGTCGGCCGCTTTGCTAGAAACGATCTCGAAAGATTGGTCGACCAGGGGGGACGCTGAAAATTTCATCTGGCAACGGAGCGGAGGTTATTAAAGCGGTTTCGTGTTTGTGCGCACTCGCTGATTAAGCTGTCGTTCGCCGGGGATTAAAGGGCAGACCTAGCTTCAGCGGGAGGATGTTTTTCAAGGTTCCGCTTTGTTAGAATATTACGCGCGCCCGCGCCCCGTTGCCGCCCGGTAATTTCTGTGTTATCCGGTTCAGCGTAATATCGTTCGATCCGACGCACTCCTTTTTTGCTTTCCATTGTAATCATCCGATTTTCTGTGGACCCACGTCGCGCTGATATTTGCCAAGCTTCGGAATGACGCGTTCAAGATGTTTCATTGGAGATTGAATTTTTTCTTAATAAGAAATTTGGAATATCTAAGATACGAATATCAACGAGCAGAATTGTCAATTGAAATATACGTAGAAATCGAGAGAAATGTGCGCAACGTATCGAGGAAGATGAATCAATTCAATTATTTCAGAATACTCCCGGTCAAGATTGTTTCGATTACTTCAAATTTCTTTTTGCATAACGTGAATCGTAATTTGAATTAAAACTGTATTTCCGATACGAAAATATTCCTAAGAGCTGTCGGAGATACCCTCAACGATGGCGGCTCCAAGTAACGCGAAATTGGCCCTCAGTCCGCGATTCCGTCGTTCTTATCTTGTATTCCAAATCCAACGAACGTAGCTTTCGAGCGGAGCTTCCGGTTTCATAGAAACGTTACCGTAACGATGAGAACATAAAACTTATCCCCTCGCTGTCAGGAATCTGGCCACTCGAAACGGCGTTTCATCCTGGTCGTTGCTTCGTTCAATTTTTAGGGACATCGGCCATCCTCCGCGGAATGGTTTCCTCTACGTTCAAATTTCCGGTGATCCCGCGCGGAATTAGAATTTCAGACATGGCGGACGGGAAAGCCGACGCGCTGCTCGAAAGAAACGCCCGGAGGAGTCGCTGGTCCCCCGAGATCCGTCGATTCGAAAGCCCTGAAAAGCTTCCTGCCGTTTCCTCTTGCCTTCACGTGTACGAAATAGCGGCGTCTGTATTTCACATGGATCTCTCCCGGACGTGGCAGTAAAGTTCGAAGGTCACTGTAAATTTCTCGCTGAAATAACGGCGTAACGTTGATGGGGCTGTCCGCACGCCGAATTTATAGGGAACCCTCGCGGATATGAGGAAATTACGGCCCCTTTCTTCATCGACGGACGAATTGAACTGAGGAATTCGCGTTGCATCGATCGCTGGAACGCTTTCGTGCGTGTCAGCAACGGTGCTCCCAGATGATTCGACTTCGCGACGATTCTGACTGGATCATTTCGGAATCTGAGCTTACACGTAGCCATTTTAATCGATCAGTTTACTTTGAATTTCAGAATAGAATCTGTTCTTTTATATTTCGAAACCTGAGACCTACACGTGGCCATTTGAATTTGCTCTTCTATAATTTGTACATCTGAAGATACTTCCAATTGTACTAAGACGTTCTGAAAATTAATACTTTATACATAGACACCAGGGAAACAAAAGAAAAGCTAAAAGATCGGATGAAGACAATGGTTCAATAGAATATCCTTCCAAACGCCCGAACTCCCCATCGAAATGGAACAATCAACGGACATCTTGAAACTGCGAAAACCGTATTAGCCGAGAGCACTTATCGGGAACGGAAAGGTTGCCGTCGTTCACGACGATAACTCCGCGGAAGAGAAGATACCCCGACCTCGGAGCCAATAAACTCCGCTCGGTCCACCGAATATTACGAAAAATATATAATTTCGCGAGAAGGTCGGATGCTCGCGACAAGGAGAACGGTTCCGCCGAACTTTTACGGCCGCTCGCGGATCGCGGCGCGCCATTCAGGAAAACCGTAACGATCCGCGGCGGCTCGTTTCCATCGTGCAATTTATTCAGCGGCGAGTGGGAGGAAACGGTTTCTTGCTCATTTTCGAAAAAATTCCCTCGTTTACCCGCCGCCGTTCCTGCGGCTTCAATTATTTTGAGAGGGTCGGGGTCACCGCGGCTTTCGGAGCTTCGCGGGACACCGCACGGCTGCGCGATTCAATTGCTCGCCTCTAATGGCGGTACGTAATTAAAAAGGAGACCGGGATCGATCCAGAAATTCGAGGAAAAAACCGACGACGTTACTTCCCGCGATGATCCCCCGCTCGGGACGCGATATTGGATACGGACAACTGGACGATCCCTTAATTGACAAATTCAATTTCCGTCGGAGCCACTGCTACTTCCGGCTGGCCGTGAAAGAAGCAACGTTTCAATGGAATCTGACGCAACGCTATCCGTCCTATTAGATCGACTACGCTCGCCGATTAATCCCCGCCTGCCTGCCTGTTATTTTCATGTTCGATTTCCGATAATGAATTTCGTGGCCGCAACCGACAAGACGATACTTCGTTACGCGCATTCTAACGAACGGTGAATCAGAATTTAATGCCGCGGGATTGTTCCGACTGAACTCCTGTAATTAAAACCGCGCGACGGGATTAACCTTCGAGCACTGTCCTCGGTAATTTAACAGGGACTCGGAGTTTGTTGATCGGTTCTTTTGTCTTTCGAATGCACGAGGTAATAGAATTTTGATGATATCGATGTTTAATCTTGATCGTAATTCGATGCCAGCTTCGGTGCAATCTGATTTGAGAAATATTCGTGCAGAAATTCTACTACTAGGATTATTCTGGAGTCTAATTCTACATCGATAGATCTGTAAAAGTGTACAATTCAGAATAGAAACTTACTTTGGTCATTAACAATTTCATCAGATAAAAGAGAATCTAAGGTACGTATGAGAGAACTTGGGAAAATGTTCATTTTATCGTGTCCCATTCAATGTTTACGAATTCAAGAAGATTGCCCGCGAGAGACGAAGCTCGAGAGAGGAAATCAGACGAACTCGGTGAGGAATGCGTGGGAAACGATATAACGATAATAAGAGCGTAACAGGTTTGATTAATTGTACACGGGGAATTGCCACGTTACTATCAGAGAACACGGCAGCTAATCCGTTAAACCTCTTAGAAATCCCGCGGAGTCTCGTCGCTGGTAATTTTCGTAATAAAAATGGCAGCCGAGATTGCGCTGTTTCCGGTGACACGGGCGGAAACGCTTAGCCGCGGGGAAATATGATTATTCCGTCGCCGCCTGAACGTACCCTAATATTTCAGCCTGTTTTCTCTTCTCTGGCACCAGGTTCCACGACGAGGAGCACGCGAATCTCCTTAATGCTATGTGGCTCATCGCAATCACGTTTCTGAGCGTCGGTTTCGGCGACATCGTACCCAACACGTACTGCGGTCGAGGTATAGCCGTTTCCACTGGAATAATGGTAAGGCCAGACTCAAAGTTTAATACCGGATGTTTCCGCGAGATTTGTAACCGCCACACATCCCCTACTATTAAGACGACTCCTTAACAAGGCACCTTGATAATCGACCACACGGGAATACGTTGAAATCCTCCTACAGAACTTTCTGCTCCTACCATAGAAGCACCTTGTTCCCTTGCTTTTACGAGACGTAACCCCTTAGTTTTCGCTTAGAATAGAGTAGACTGTATAGACATTATAGCAGCTTTTAGACGAGTGCCGAAGTTCCGTCGGTTTCAGCGTTACCTGTCAGATAGTTTTCTTTAAATTGCATTCCAATTTACGCAAACTGCAATATTAGTATAGCGATTCGTGAATTAGTAAAGCGGAGGCTTCGGAATTTTATCTGGAAAGTATCTATTATTAAAGTTCACGTACATCGCGATTGTTAAATGAGCTTCGGAAACCATAACGAATAGTTACAAAGAGGCACATCGCTTGATAATTCGAAAGAATAGTTAACATCCACTTGACGAGACATTGAACCACAGAGCTAATTGCAGAAATTGCGGGAGCTCGTGAAACAACCGTGTCCGTCGACACTTAAATTACTCGATAATCGTCCGAAGTACATTTCGATGTCCTCGCAGGCTACTAAAAACCGCCTGAATTTCCGCACTCATTCAATAGATGGCATTAATAATTCCAGGTGACTCGATCTCTTCGTCGAATGTCCGCGAATAAAAATTGACGAGACATTAACCGAACTGCTCCGAACGACCTCGATCTCTGTCCCCGGCGAAATGGACACGCGTTAACGCGTTCCGAATGTCGAATTATGTACCCGAGGCGCGGCTTAATCCGAGGAAACGGAAGATCCAGCGAGTTCTATGCACGGAACGTTGCGAGGCTAAGGGTTATCGACCACAGCGTCGCGGCAAGTGGCAGTTACGATGCACTTGGACCGACACTTCGTCACGATAAACGCTACACCGGCTCCTAATCTCCCCGTTGGGAGTCCTCTAGTTTCCTTATTGTTATTGCATCCTCGGCTCGATGCTAATTCGCCGATTTAGGGCTAGCAGCCGTGAATCGCTAACCAATTTAGCCGGCGCGGCGCGGCGCGGCGCGACGCGGAGACCCAGTCAATTCCCCGTGAAAATTCCGCTCAACGAGCGCATCCACTCCCGCGGAATCCAAAACGACGACGTTTCCGGTCCTTTGCGTTTATCGCTTTCGCCAGCCTTATTACGGGCCAATTTTTCTAATGCGGTTGGGATATAATCAGCATGCAAACGATGAACCATCATCGAAATTCTTCATCCGCCGCCGCTGAGACGCTTAACGCGGTTTCCTGTGTGACTTCTCGCCGCCATTTCGAATTTCTTCGACTGTGCATCTATGGTTCGAACGGTTAGGCTTCCGTAGAATTTTCGTTATCTTTAGGAAATGACGATTAACCCTTTGCCATCGGCAATAGCTTTCATGAACTATTCATTATTTTCCAATGAGGTGCAAACATATGTTATTTGCAAATAGCGTAACGGAAAATTTAGTATAAATTAAGGAAGTATTTTATTTCCACGTTACGTACGATTCTGTGAATGTTAATATCGAATTTGATCATTTCGCTAAGTTGAATCGAGAGAATCGCTTATCTAGTGCAAAGGGTTAATGTCCTACATGTAGCATTAACTGTAGAAGATTAGGTATTTTCGAAATTCTGAAATCTTCGTCCGATAGAATCGAAAATATTTTAGTATTATTTCTAATTGGGTCGCGGTTAGTCAAAATTTTATGTAGAAAACGTAGAAAACGAGGCTGTCGGCGTTATCAATCGGTAAACGGAATTTTCAAAGTTTTACTCGAGATCCGGAGTGTTGAATAATTCCAGCACCCGGACGTTACGTTCCCGGACATTCCCGTGAAATGCCGTTTTAATACACTTCGAGCACCCCAAGGCTGACCGAATCGAGCGAATACAGCGTGCTTCGCGGAAAAATTGGATCGGATATAGGTGAATTATTCAATTTGAAATGGTCGCCTTATAAGAATCACTTTGTATGGAAGTCTGGCTCGATCCTTCTTCCAAATCCGCCGCTATATTGCCTGTGGCCTGCGGATTCTGCTGGCGAATCGGTTTTGCCGTCGCGTCGCGTTTGCGTTCCTCGGAGGACGTTGTCTCGCCTCGTGTTACGCTTCGCAGCCAAACGCGATTATGATTTTGCTCCTCGGCACGTAAAGGACGAAATTTGTCTGTAATTAAAACGGGCCGCGCCGTTAAAAGGGGTGCCTCGTTGTTTTTCGCGCGGCTAACTTCGACTCAGAAAGAAAAAAAAAGGTCCTTTCGTCGGACTCGTAGGATTTCCTTAAGAGGATTCCTGACCTAGGCAGCTATGGAAGTTAAAATAAACTTTTCTCGATGCTAGCTTGGCCATAATAGTCAGTTAAGCGATTCGGAAGTTGCTGCTTCGCAGTATTTTCGAGAAAATTCCACGAAATCTTCATTTTCATAGCGATTACTTTCTGCTATCCTACGCTCACTTCTCTAGAAACTGTTCTACTTACTAAACTAGTGATCACGATTACCTAAGCTTCAAGTATTACCTCCAAAGATCTACAAAACAAGATCGCTAGTATCGATTCATCAAACTTATTCCGCTTAACACTTAAAATTCTCCAATAGTTTCTAATAGAATCATCTAGCGCTAACGAAAGGCTACGTTTTGCTTCAATCGAGTATCACGTAAAGCTTCAAAGGAAAGTCTGCATGTCTTACGAAATTCCTCGAACTCCAATCGACGGATATTTATGTAGTTACATCGCCTTTGAGAAGCGATTACTTCTAGCCGTCTGTTTCAGTGAAGCGTAGATACGCTTAGCTCCATCCACGTATCAAACGCAATTGTAATGCTCGAAAGTTTCAATCGTCTTTTTCATTAGCAACTGTACTGATCTTTCTTTCAATATCTCCCACAGCCTAACGTTATTTCTAAAG